GCACGGGCTGGAACTCGGTTTCGATTTAGCTGCTTAGCGGGTAATGACTCCATTCTCCAGTACTACCTAAAGTACTCGCGGGAGGTGCCCGCGTTGATTTTGGCGTATTTGGACGATTTCATTGCAGCCATGTCAGATCCGGTTCGTTTGCGGGACTGGTCCCATTTGGTACAACGAGTTTTTCAGGCTCTGGGGATTGAGTTCAAACATTCCAAATGCCAATGGGATCCGGTTCAACGGAAGACCCATTTGGGCGTGATCATTGATACTTGCCGGTGCCAATTTCTGGTGCCTCCGGACAAGGCCGCTGCTATCGCCACCCGGGCTCGTGCTATCCTCCAATCGGGCGTGGTTGTGGCGCGACATTTGGCTCAGTTTTGTGGGTCTGCAATTTCGTTGTATTTGGCCTTTCCGCTGGCCTGCTTTTTCTTGATGAGTCTTTATGAATTGTTACGTGGGAAACGTTCGTGGAGGGATCGTTTTCCTTTGACCCCCCAAGCCCGCCTGGACCTTTTGGCATGGACCAATCTTTCGCGGCTCGCCGGCCAGGCTCTCCAACCGGGTTCGCTGCCATTGCTGGGCACCCTTGCAACGGATGCAAGTCTTACAGGTTGGGGAGCGACTTTTCAGCCTTTGGGCCAAACGGAACCCATGTTAGCAAGGGGCTTTTTTGATCGGGAGCTGATTCATATTAATGTTCGTGAAATGCAGGCCGTACACTTGGCCTTGCTCAGTTTCTTTCCTCACCGGTACTCCGGGACGACTTCCCGGCGAGTCTGTTTGTTGGTGAACAACCAGGTGGTCTTGCACTGTCTCCTTTCCATGACTACCAGGGCCACCAGCCTACTGCGGCCTTTACGTCAGCTGAAGGCGGTGTGTACTACGCGCCGGATTCTCCTGGAGCCGGAGTACATTCCCTCGGCGGAGAACGTACTGCCGGACCGGCTTTCCCGTATACGGACCTCGGAGGACTACCGCCTGAATCCGCGCATATTCCGGGAGGTCGCCCGCAGCTTCGGGGCCTGTTCTGTGGACCGATTCGCGTCCGCCCGGAATGCCCTTTGCGCACAGTTCAACAGTCAGTACTGGGACGTCGGTACGGCAGGAGTGGATGCCTTCCAGCAGGATTGGAGCGGCACCAGGTCTTGGTGCAATCCCCCGTGGAGCCTCCTCGCGCGGCTCGTGTCCTTCCTCGCCTTACGCCCGGAGCTGGAGGCGGTGGTGCTCGCGCCGGACTGGCCGAGCGCGGTTTGGTTTCGCCCACTCCGAGCAATCGCTCGGGCGGAGCTCTCGATTCCCCGCCAGGCCAACCTCTTTCTCCCCGGCGACCCGACTCTCCCGGCGTCTCTTCCCCCCCCGCGGTGGAATCTGCAGGCATTCCATGTGTGCCCGCACGAGAGGACGCCACGCCATCTGAGACCGAATCGGAGGAAGACGTGATTCCGTCGGAGGCCCCCCCTTCCCCGCCGGCCGACCTGCCGGCAACTGCCGTTCCCTTGGAACCGCTGGCGGAGGATGACCCGCTGTACGGCACCGATTTGGACGGCCTGCTCCATGATGATCGCTGCTGGATGGAGCACCAATTCCTACAGTCCTACACGGAGGCCACTCGGCGGACGCTCCAAGCCAAGTTCTCGCGCTTCCAGCGTTTCTGCGCGGAGCACGGCCTCGAGGCCCTCCCCGCCCGGCGGGCCTCGATCTACCGGTACATTCGTTTCCTTCGGGAGGAAGGCAAGGTGGGCGTGGGGTCCCTGCCCCAATATCTGGCCGCCATTTCCATGATGCACCATGTCGCGGGTCACTTAGGCTTCTCCGCCTTTGACCCGGTCACCCACATCCTCACCCGCGCTTGGCGACGGGCGGCTCCGGCACCGGTGCAGCATCGCCGGCCGGTCCCCATTTCCCTGATGCTACGCATCCTGGAGGTTGGCCTCACCACCGAGGATGGGCCCACCCTTCGGGCGGCGTGCGCGGCCCACCTCGCCTACATCTTTTTCAATCGGGCCCAGTCGGGCCATTACATTCTGGTCGACGACGTTCGCATCGACGAGGAGGTGGTGATCTTCCGCGAGCGCAAGACCAAGCTGTGCCCGGGGGCAGAGCCCCGGTCGTGCTATCGCTCCTGGCCTTCTCGCGGAGCCCCCGAAGTCGTTGACTTGCTGCGCCAGTGGACGCAGCTCCGCGACCATGCCTGGGCGCAGACGGATCAACCGCCGCGCCATTTCTACCGCCTTCCCGGCGACGCCACCCCTTCGTCCAAGACCGTGGCCTCCTGGTTCTCGTCCCTCCTCGCGCACTTTCCGGACCTCGCCCAAGAGCCGTTCACGCATCATGGCCTGCGCGGTGGGGGCGCGTCCAGTTGCTTCGCCTTGGAGGTCGCGGAGCGGCGTATTCAGGATTGGGGTGCATGGAAGTCAGACGCTCTGTGGTCGTACATAGATATTTTTCGTTTACCCACTGAGTGGGATTTTCGGTTGTTCGGTTGGATGACCATCACCGCCCGCAACCTGCATGAGCAGTTCGGGCACATCTTCTGCCCCGGAGGGGCCTCGAGTTCCCGTAGAGTGACTGGGCAAGTTTGAAGGACGGGAACCTCGGGAATGTGAAAGTTAACGGTGTTTGTAATTATTGTCATGGGGGTACATGACGGGGTGGGCTCAGGAGACCGGTAAGGCAGAAATGAAGTTAACTATCCTGTTAATGGGTTTCTGCCAAGGGCGACGATGGGTGGGCTGCACCGGCGATTCAAACGGTGCAGTTTGAACCTGGGGTTTACTCAACCCCGTCCCTTGGGATTTCTGGCCACCCTAGTACCGTGGGTCAGTCAAAGTACGGTATTCCGAGGTGCCGCCCGCGAGGGCGCCCTCGAGTTTGGTGGGCTTTGGCGGGGCGGCGGAGGGCGGCTATTTAGGCAGCCCCTCGGTCCCCCTCCTTATCTTGTTTCGCACCCAGCCCTCCCGCCCTGGATAGTGGAGTTCGGGTTAGTTGTGGGATGGAGAGGGAGTTGAGGGAGTGCAGTACGGGAAAGGGAGCTGACTCACGGGGAGTCACTCACTGAAGTGGCATTGAAGTACTAGCGAAGCGAATGGGCAAGTTTAAAGGACGGGAACCTCGGGAATGTGAAAGTTAACGGTGTTTGTAATTATTGTCATGGGGGTACATGACGGGGTGGGCTCAGGAGACCGGTAAGGCAGAAATGGATGTTGATGAAGTGATGTTGAAAATGGTTTACTTTGAAAATTGGGATTGTCTCAATTGATGATTTCCGGATTGTGGAAATACGGGTGGTGCTAGTGACGGGGCACCAGGCATGATCCGGGCATACCAGCGGTGCCATCTGTTTTGGCAGTCAGTCCTTTGGCAGTGTTGAATTTGATTTGCCACAAATTGTGTTCTCTAATAACTGTGCGCTCTAGGCACTATTCGGTAAACCACGCAATGCGCATACTAAGCGATCATTATGTGCATCATCGCATATGCGCATGTATGCAATACAATGCAATATAATGCATTGTGCAGGCGCGTTGTGTGCCCTTGTACTCAAGTGGCCATTAAGGGTTAAGAAAGGTGTCAATCGCTCAGAAATTTCATAAGCAATCGATTGATGTGCTGGGCAGTCAATTTGGAGAAGAAATGAGTATTTTAGAAGAAATTTTTACTTGCGGTTGAGGGCCACAGGGAACTGGACGGTCCCGTTTGGATGAGAAGTGACTGATTGGATTGTGAATCATTTGGCGGCATACGCATGAGGTGCGAAGGATGCGCATGCATGGATTCCATGTGGATATCACTGTGCACATGCGCGGAAACCCTCCCTATCTCCTGAGCGTGGTGAAAGAATGGCCTGTGTCCCAAACAGTTCTGTGGCCACCTCTTGCTTGGATTGGATCCAAGAATGGTGGCATGCGCACGCCCTCCCAGGCATGAATGAGGTCAAGGATTTCTGTGGACAGCTGGAGCAGTTCTAGGCTGCCCGCCTTGCGGCGCTGGGTGTTCAGGCGTCAGGGTCCGCTGAACAGGGGGAGGATTAGGAGGACAAGCTCTGGAAGCGTGTGCGTGGCCTCCAGCGCGCACTGATGGAAGTGTGGGAGGCCTCCTTGAGTGACGATTACCGCATCCTTGATGTGGTGAAGCAAGCAGGGCTCGGTTTCCAGGCCTCCCTTGATATGCGCACATTGTCGCCTGCGATTCGTGCGGAGATTATTCTTCAGTTCGAGACGATGTGCTACGTGGGCATGAAGGCAGCTTGGGATGCCGCAAGGAGGGACGTGGAGCTGTCCGAACTACACCGGCAGGAGAACAAACCGGTGGTCTGCCGGGCACTGGAGGATGTGGAGGAGGAGATCAGGGCGGTCAGGCTGAAAGTCATCGATGACTTCTTCAGCAAGAGGTTGAAGGTGCAGTCGCTGGAAGAGGCGTATGCATCTGATATGTCACTGAGGGAGCTGGAGGATGACCGTCGTTTCTTGATGCGGCTGCCGCTAGGTTCACCACGTCAAGATTTGAGGTGACCTTTGTTAAAGAAAGCTATGGCAGAGTGGCATGCCCAAGACCAAGCCATCCAGGTAAAATGATGGTTTGATTCGGCAAAGGCAGAGGTGCAGGGATGGCTTCAGGGGCACAAGTGATATGTAAAGCATGTGGGTGTGGGGTTCCTACCCTCTTTGAGCCGCGGACCCGCCTTGCCAGGCACCTAGGTCCTTACGGGGACTTAGGCGGGACCACCCCTCCTACTCCTGTATCCTAATACCTAGAACGGTTACCATGGGTTGAGGATAGTTATCTTGGGCAGGGCGTCCCCCACACCAAGGGCCATTAGTAGGGCGTCCCCCACATCAGGCCGGTGCACGTAACATTCGTCCCCCTTAGGGAGTGGGGCGTCCTCGTCCCAATGTGTGGATACGGGAGTAGAAACAGTATGTGTGTTCACGACAACACCACAACACTATCCCGAAAATGCTGGACTACCCTGCCGCGCATAGCTATTGCGGCACTACTCTTCACTGTCTAAAAAGCATGTTGGTCACCCCATGGCACATACACACAAAGATGAATGTGTTGCGCACCCTATTCAGTTGGCTACCCGTTTTTAACGAGCCACGACCACAAGGAGATGCAGCTGGCAAAGCAAGCATGCGTTGAGGCTGGCACAGGTCATCGTTAGTCATAACTTCAAGGCTGCTTTGAGATCTCCATCGCAACCCAATGGGGGCTAAAGCCTCATTTTTCCGGCTTGCGATCCCATTGTCACAGCCCCATTTGCAATCTGCTCGCCTCGGCGCAGTAGCCAACACCCAGCACTTGGAAAGGCGCCTGCCACAGCCAGAACGAGGCAGCATCTGCGTCAACCACGGAGCTGCATACCATGGGAGCGCTCCCTTAAACATGGTCAAGCAGCTGGGGAGCCATTTGGCAGCGATGGCATTTATGTTTCCATGTTGTCCTCCGACGCTGACTCTGAAACTACATTCTGCTCTTCCTCGGGGTCTGTGGGCGAGCTCACGTAGCCATCTTCCCCGCTACCGCTGCTCGCCCGGTGGCGCTGGTGCACCAGCGCCTGAACATCTGGCTCCTCCATCCGGCACCTGAGGCCCTTTGCCTTGGCCTCGACCATGACACGCTCAAACTCCGGGTCCAGCACGGCCGCAATTGGTTCCATGGGGTCACTGCGCCCAGCTGCTGCCAGAAGCAGGCACCGCCCTGAAGAGAGAGGCAGGCCAATCGGTTTTATTTGAAAAAGCGGCTAAAACACCCCAAAATGCAACCCTTGTGTGCTGTGCGCATTGCACATAAAAGGATTGTGGATAGATGCCCCAAAAGAGTGCGAATACCCAGAAATTCTGAAATCACAATTGTTGAGATTGTGCTTGCAGCCACACCATGAAGAAAAAGCACCTGCACATTCGCTAACTATGTCCGCACACTAGGATGGTATGTTGTTGCTCGCCCACATAATGTTGGTGATGATATCTTGCTAGTGTCCAGCACAAGATACTGGTCTGCACCCAAGAGGCCTGCATGGGCAACTAGGCGACATGTAGGCAAACTTCTTTGATTGAACAAGTCGTGGCCATCTACTCCGAAGTGGGATTGAAAAATGTTGGCTACTTCCGGTTGTGTGACAGGGAAACTGCATCTTGACACCGACAGGAAAGGGCAATTGGTTTATTAGCCAGGGAACTTGACTGTGGGACCTTTGCCGCCAAATTACGTTGTACATTCATACCATTCTTTCTCGCAGCTCATATGGGTTCCTGCGGTCCCTTCGAGTGCGGACAGCAATGCTGCGGGGAGTAATCCGAACGCCCCAGTCTCACTTCATGATGGACATGGTACAAAGTACAATACATATCATTGTCTGTTCATTCCTCCACCTCGTGAACACTCCAGGAGATACGTCCACCATTATTATGGTGAAATACACCCATTCTAATCACACTGTGCCAACCGCTGCCACGGGTATGTTTTGACACTGTTGGAGAGAGGCGTTTCTAGTTTGCAAATCGGGTTCAGGAAAGATTCTGATGCCAGAAAGCACAAACGGTGCTTATGCTCATTGTCAAACAATAGACATTGACACATGATAACGCCGTGCAGCTCAGCATAAAAATGGAAGCAATAATACAAAAAAATACGATAGGGGCACTCCAAACCAACATTGATTTCACCTACCTAGTGCAGCTGCCACTGCAGGCACGACAGAATTTCCAATTTGCTTGAACCGGCTGGACACGCTGACGTTTTCTATCAGAGAACCTCCAAGTCTCCTTCTTTTGTAAGAACCCACAAAGACGTAGTAGTCCGGGAAACCCTGTAGAAGAAACATTATGACATGTCGTCAACCCAAATCGCATTGATACATGCTGATGGCCGGGACATTTATCTTTGCAGCTTCCATAGTCAAAGAGTCGAATTATTGAAGAAAAACTGTCATACAGCGCCCTCATGAGAGAGAGTCTTGAAAGCTTGCTTCATCTGCAGAACTGATGATGTCTTTCAGTCCGTACGGGAACATGTTACATGCATAAGTACAGACCACACATTACCTTTTGCGGTTGCATACAGTTGACATTACAGCTGGTAGGAGACATGCAGACGGCATTGGCATGAGCTTGAGTCATCAACCCATTGGAACGAATGCTGCTAAAGGACATAAGGCCTTCCAATATGCTCAAAGACACTTTCAACCAGGAATTTGAGTTTGGCCAACGTACAATAGGCATGGGAATCACAGGTTGTCACTACCTTTTACTTTTGCTTCTCATACTCCCTGCTTCATTATGCTTGTGAGATATTTGGTGCATGCATTTTGAATGTGTGTCTTCTTGAACATAGCAATAGCGTGGGAGCACCATTTGGGGGCAGTTTGATCATTTCCTGGATTGCTTGTGTCGGTGGTCGCTTTGTCTTTGAGTCAGATGTGGTCCATTTCTGTGCCATTAGACGATCTGAGGGGCTATAGGCTTTCCTTTGGCTCTCACTGCATGTTCACCAATTGCAAACTGGACCTGGTTTGCCCCATAATTAAAAGCAGCACGGACAGCGAAACACAGTTGTTGCCCGGCATCCCCTCTCAAGGTGCAAAGGACTCATTATGTCAAGTGATTTTGTCAGATGGCAACCACAAGAAAGTGGTTAGAGGGAAGCCTAACTCTGGGCACCTGTGTTATTGCTGACAATTAGAGGTGCAGCAAGATGTGTATCATATATATACCATGTATAGACGTTGTAAAACATCCATAAATGAACAAGATTGAACTGCCAATTTCCAACTTGAAATGTATGTGAATGGCATAGATGGATGACTAAAGTCCCCTGTTGGGTCCATTCCTCTACTAGCCCTAGATCTTGAGCTCACCTGAAGCCGAGCATGTTCCCTTACAGTCAGCGTTCTGTCTTGGCGAGGATGCAATGTCTCCGTGGTCTCTGGCTGGACTGTGCACGTCAGCACTTTCATGCTGCCTTGGAGCTCGACGCGCCCATAGGGACAGTTTTTGGTGCCCCTTTTCACAAACCTCCTGGGCACTAAAAATTGCGAGGGGCCGGCGAAAACAGTGCTGGCCGGGCACCCCTTAAGTTGTGCTCCCTCACGGCCAGCAACCGTGCGCCAAACTGTCTTTCTGTGGAGGCCGCCGCCACCGGCCGCCTTTACGAGGGTGCTATTGCCGCCACCCTTGCAGGAAGTCGTGCCGCGGGTTATGGGATGTGTGTGGCCAACACAACAACTGCCTGCGGAAAAAACCATTAAGAAAATCCTCGACAGGAGTTCTGATGTGCATAGAACTTCAGCGTGCTCATGTCAGGAGGCATGTTGACGCCCTCCTTGGTGGGCAAATGGATCGATGTTTGTCACCGCTGCATTGTCATGTTAGCCATCGCAATAGCAATTCACACTCTACTCTAGTCCGCATCCAAGAGCCTTACCATCCTTGTGCTCAACGATGCCCCGCATGTCCCTGTAATCTGGACCATCCAGCACCGGCGAAGCTTTCGGAACCGCCAACATGCGGTCATAAATGATCGATCTACATGTGGATGGCACATGATCCCGCAGAGGCCCTGGTTGTGATGCCGCCGCCGCCTCCTCGTACCGCTCCAGTTCCACCTCCACCATCTTCCCGAAACGCAACACCTGACTTGCACGAAAATGCCGAGCCCACAAATCAAACATTTGCCGCGCTCCTGGGGTCGCATCTGCCACTGCCAGTTTCACAACATGTTTCTCGAATTTCTCAGGCTTGCTCATGCCCATTGCAAGCTGGCCCAGGGCGTTCAGCCTGTCTTTGCGCTTGAGCTTCGCCGTCCTCGTCAGAGCAGAAAACAGACTCTGTCTGGAAGCGTGCATGTACATGTCCGCCTGCGCAGCCCTGTCAAGGAACGATGGCTCCCAGTCAGGGGGGCTGCGTCTCATCCACAGCTGATAGGGCCTCGTGGGTTCAGATTTGTACTGCATCGCGTCCGTGAAACTGAAGTTTGACACTTCGGGAAGGTCATCAAGAGCGTCTTCAGTTACAAGCGGTGGAAAGAGCTCCCCGCCTTTGCCGGCCCCCTTATCATCCTCAAAAATGCTCACTGCGAAATCCTGGAGCAAAGCAGCAGCGTCATTGTTGGTGTCACAGACAGTTCCTGTTGAGTAGGAACCATCGCTCTGCAGCGCAAGCAGTGTGAGAGCAAATCCAGGTGCATAAACTGTGGCACGCATTGCAGAAACATGGCAAACATACAAAACTCTTGCAGATGCACCTTTCGGTGGTTGAAAATTCTGCAGTAAAAGTAAAAATGTTCATTGACAACGTAGAAAATTTTGTCACTGCCACACAACGCTTCACTGCCACAAACAGGGGGACTCAGCAAGGCGCATTTTCAATAGTTTTGCCCCAAATATGTAGTCGGCAGTCAGCCATTGACACCGGACCTGCTCAAGAGACATTCTCCCATTTCGGTTCTGGTCACTCGGAATGAGAAGAGGAAGAAACTCACTGACCTGCAGATGGGGAACTTCCCCCCAATCCCATTTTTCAGAGTGGCACACAGGCTTTGGGAAAGGCGGCAGTGCTTCGGATCCTGATTTTGCAGCCCACAGGAAGCATCTCCTGCGATGCTCCGGCACGCCTTGATCATCGGAGGCGATCAGCCCCAACCTCGTCTGGTAGCCCATGGATAGAAGCTGCACAATTGCGAATTTTATGTACAGCCCGTCCTCTCGTTGCTTGGATATCGATGCCTAAAAACATGCCCACGACAAGGCAATAATCACGGAAGGAATCTTGTTGCCCACGACAAATGGCATGCATACTGGCCATATTGCTGGTCTTTGGACGCAAATGACAATCACACTAACACCTGCAATTGCTGCCAACAGTTTGCAACCACTGCACTTAGGCCGACATAGGATACAACGGTTTGTGTCCTCATACAAAACCAAAGAATGCAAAACACATCGCATCCCAAAAAAATCATATCATATCATCATATCGTACGCACATATGGACATTTCATATCCAAAAGTACCCAAGAGAAAACCGCTTTGTGAGCCAACAAACAACCTGCCATGGTGCCGTGAAGGTGCCAGCATTCACCACACCGCCTTCTAGGTGATCGTTCACCAGTTTACCTTTGGACATATACTACCACTATGGAAACAAAATAATCAGCAAACAGCACAGACTGATGCTGTGTTGTCTTCTCTCACAATTGAGTTGAAGTATTGTTTTGATTGTGGCAGTGGGGTGCCTGTAGCCCACCGTGCACCCTGCAAATCGCCCAGTTGCTGTGAGATTAGTGACTTCTGATATTGCGATCATTACAATAATTGTTGATTTCCACACCGACTGCATTTCAGCCACATAACGACGACACAGTGGACACTGAAGGGACCTCCAGCTCCCTCTAGAATTCGAGTGGAATCGAATCTTCCATGCGCCCCCCAACCTGAATGTTCTCCAGCAGCACAAACGCTGGCTTGAACACCATCACTGCCTTCAAAAAGGCCTTGATCTGGCTGTTCCTGCTGTCCTCCAATATGTCCTTTGTCCTTGCGCTCTTATTCAATCCACTGAGGCCCTGGCAAGGGGGCCCGCCGCAGATGAAGTCTACGTCCTTGGAGCCTGCTGCAGTGGTGGCGGGGCAGGGGAAAGTGCCTCTTTCCCGGGCTGCCCTCAAAAATGCAGAGAACGCTCCTGCAGGAATGCTATCCTGCCTCAGCCAGCAGCGATCCATTGCGGCACTGGGCAGACACACAGGCAGTTGTTGTGAAAGGCCCAACTGCAGCACGAAAGCGTGAACTGGTGGACTAATAACACCACAGCTATCTATATACTGTAGCAATTGCAGCTGACTGCTGTGTTCTCCGCGTTCGATGAAATGCCTTTGCCAACAAGGCTGTGGCAGACAAAGCACTTGCACAATGTAATCAGGAGAGATTGCACCAGGTGACAAGGGTTGGAAATGATCCAAACTAAACTTGCATAGAGTCCCTCGGTAGGACCATCAGTGGACTTTTCTGTGTCCTGGACATCGTTCGCATTCGTAGCCAGCACAAATGACCAACAAATGAGCGGCCTTTGAGGGCAAATTTACACCGTTGGCTGATTGTAAGATCCCAACAGGTTAAGAATTCAAAAAAATTGTGCCCGTCAATTGCATCAATTGCCCCATTAGTAAGCTTCGTAGCAGCCTCTGACAGGTCAACTGTACCCATTGGCCCCGGCATTCAGCAGATATGGCGGTCCTCAGAAATGGTGTCTCTCCTGATTTGACTGCGCCAACCCGCAGCTTCAAGCACACTTCATCCACGGCACTCGTCAGAAAGCCACTCAATGGAACGCTTGCAAGTAATTTCCCTGCACCCAGGGGCCCAAGACTCTTGTCCACGTAAATCGCCCAGGGACATACCCAACAGATGGCCGGTTGTACTCAAACACAAGCCATGAGTTGTCCTCCGACACCTCTTCTGGCAGCTGCACCTCTGGCTTGCTGGAGTCCCACCTGTCATCTTCCGGATGGTCGACTCTGACTCCAGATATGAATCCCTGCGCCAATACGTTCAACTGTGATGCGGGGCAAGTCACATGAAGTATTCAAACAACTGAACTACTGCGCAATTCGAATAGAGTTGTAGTCAGGGTTCAGACTCCAATGTATCTGAAGGCTGAAGAAAACCCAACAAGAAATGAGTAGAAGTCACCGTTGATAAATTCGCAAAAGCCCGGTACCCTTCATGTCTGGACATGAAGGTCATGAAATCACGAAGGTTCACGGTTCACGGTCCGTGGTTGGCCATTTTACGGGTTCAGAGTGTTTTAGGTTGTCAGGCCCCTTGTACCCTTCACGGCCTCTTCATGACTGGAAAATAAAGGTACCAGACAGCGATGACTTTGAAATCCACACAATTCAGTCTGTGCTGCTGAATTCAACAGCATTTGACTGAGCTCTGCCGCATTGGCAGAAAATGATCAACAGAGATTGCCACTGCACTCACTTGGGATGCACAGAGGAAACCATTGCGATGTTCACTACTTACAATGCACACTATGTGAACTGAATATGTAAAATGTCCTTCCCCTTCACTGCACACTGGTGGCAAGGGTTGACAGCAGCCATGTGAAAACTATATTGTGGACAAGTAACGAGCGCATGGAACAATGATTCAAATGCCTTAAGGTGCTTGGGGATGCATATCATTACCAAGTAAAATGAGCGAATCATATTAGATGAAGCAGGTCAGAACAGAGAAGGTTGGCAAGAGCCAAGACACACCTGTTCCACTGTATCATTTCCCACATCCCGATCGTCCAGCGTATCGTAAAGTTGGTGCAATTTCTGGCATGCAAAAATGAACTCCTCCACATGCATGAGATGCACCTGAACACCAGCATGTTACTTCGTATTGCGCTCAACCTTCACACACAGAATCCCCCTTGGCATTTCTGACAGCGGGACCAGCAATTCTGCAGAATCTTGCAGAAACTCCATCGCTGCACAGTCACAGATGAAGGTAGCCACTTGTTTGTGCCAAGGAATAAAGCACGGGAAAGCAGCCAGTGCCACACAGATTGATAAAACGAACAATGGCTTTGCGACTTTGAGCTGGGCCCCAACGACACTCACATGCGTGTTAGGATGGTTGACTTGAAATGTCCTCAAAGAATCCTCAAATATGTCCACCGCGTGGCCCACCTCCACTCTCCCATTCTCATTCCTTTGCGCCACAAAGGAGAAGCCGCCGCACCCACTGAAGATATCAATGGACTTGAGGACCTGCACTCGCATAGCTACATGATGGCCTTGTTACAAATGTTATGTTCACACAACATGCAAGTTATCAGGCACCAGGCATGTCCTGAAAGGGAGGTATGAGGTAGTTACTGGCACATAGCACTACAACACAAGATACTGCCAAAGCAAAGTGCGCGTGCCATCCAGGTGGCTAGAATACAAAGCACCGCAAGACACGACACGGGCAGCGCAGTACACAGTGCAAAGGACAGACCTATGTAAAACAAGATGCACAAGTTTCGTAAGTGGCTGCGAATCCAAGTGAAACCCAGTCCCAAAATCGCTCAACGCTATGGCAGCTGATGAATGGACCACCTGGGTTTCTGCCTCGATGCACATGCCATGGCATGTATGGCCAGTTTTATGTATTCCATTGATGAACTTGCTTCAGATAGGCGTTGCAGTCCTGATGCGACTTGCATCAGGATACTTCATGTCAAATGGCAACAGCACGTCGCCCCAAGTTGCAAGGACTCAGTATTTTACAGGAAGTGCCAAAGAACAACACTGGGACATGCTGATGTGCTCCTCATCCCTTGCGAATACATGCACAAATCAATTGTTCATTATTTATTGTCAAAACGAACTCCTCTGCAGTACATCATTCCATGAGCATCACCTGATCAGCTGCTGGGAATGCATTGAAAATATCCTTTTGCACAAGGCGAGTACAAGGCTTGGTCCTCAGCACACAGACCTGGTGACTACCTCACCTGCAAGGGTATTTGAATTGCAGAGTCACTACGCAGGGAAATTTGCTGCAGCCCGGTGGTTGGTAACAGCAGGGTGGCCTGGATGTGGTTTGCAGCATGCATATCACTTGGCTGACTCACCCTGTTGCTTCTTGCAGCAGCTGGCTTGTGATCATAGTCCCGGAAGGTGTAGAACCGTTTGGAATACATCATCGACCACCAATAGTCACAACTTCCAGGATTGGGCGCCGGGTGGCCGGGAGTTACATGCACAATGCGCACCACCCTGTAGAGACAGAACATAGGAAGTAAAAACACAGGGCCTTTGCTAACCAGTGTTGAAAGCCAAGTACGCTTCAGCACTGGCAGTGCAATAGAACAACAAGAATTCTGATCTTTAACAATGGTGTCTTGCACCACCTGTCGCAAGTTGAGTGGCTTGGGGTTTGGGGCACACTTGAGCGTACTTCAGCAACACATCACGTCTGCATCCCTGCAGGTTCAGAGTGCATTTCCCAAACCATCCCAAACATGAGCAACGAGTTGTCTGCTCCAATATCGAGTTGATGTCTGTTCATCAGATCATCCAAAGATCGACACATCCAGGTGGATCTTCGCTCACCAAGCAAAGGCGTCCGTAGAGCAAAATGTTTTGCATCTCACCTCTTGATTACCCCCACTTCAAATTTGTTGCCCCACAGCCCCTCGTTCTGGTCAGCTTTGAACACCTGTCGACTGTCCAATCGCTCAATGCCATTGCCTTCAGGAGGGAGGAAGGCTTTGCCGCCAACTTCTGTAAGCACAATCGTGTCCCATATTGTGTAGAACCATTCTCCCTCGAAGTACTTCACGGCCTACACATGTGTCAACCATGCATAAATTGGACAACTATCAGGCAGGCCAGTTGTGCACAATTTATGTGCAAAAAAGCTGGCAACATATGTGCTGTGCATACATGACTGTAACTGTGGCGAAAAGGCATTCCTGGCAGAGGCAAATTCACAAGTTGGCAAGCGCAATGCAGTTGGCAGCAGTGCCCAGAAGAGCAAGTGCAGATGCCGCCAACAGCATATTTTACACATATACACAACAGAACACCAACATACAAATACTCAAATAACACTACACAGAGCATTTAGGTGTTGTAGTGCATACATACTTCCGCATGTACATATACAATGTGTGTATGCAGGGAACTTGTTGATGACAAGATGAACATGTGCATAATCACTGCTTGTGTGAAAAGGTTCCAAAGAGATTCAGGCCAGTCACATATGCCTGGAGACGTCAAATGATCCCCATTATGAGGCCCCATCGGCATGCCCCATCATGAGCGCACCAGAAAGCATCTGTCATAGCCAATAGTTTAAGACAGTGCACCTGGCTGACCAAAAAGACATCAACCTCCACAATGACAGCAATAGACGGGGAGTTCGGAGTTTTGGACTCTTGAATGTGGTGGTTACTACACAATGCCTGTTCCCTGCCTGCCCAATGCTCAATCTTTTGATGGCACAGCCTGCCAAGAGCAAATCCCACAACACCACACACACCGGAGTCCCGCTGGCTTTCCCCTGGAGCTTCTCCCAAAGCTTGGTCACTTTGACAACATAGACTCGCTCACTCCCGTCTGGCAGCTCTGGGAGTTTTGCAACCTCTGCATCGTCAGGGAACACCTCAACTGTATCTCCCAAGCACACCTGCATCAAAAAAGTCGCATTTACCAAGTCACCATGAGAACAAAACGGCAGAAAACAAGTCCTGCTACTGTTTGTGCACTGTGAGACACTACCATTACTGCTGTGTCACACATGCAGGCACGTTTGCCACCCGATGTCTCTGCTTTCCTATCTTTTCTTATGGATTGCTGCGATATAGCTTATGTTCAGCCCTGGATGGGTATGTATTCTTTTAGACGCAAAAGTCACTCAGGTTAGCAATGCAGACTGTGGTGACATTGGACTGCAGTATGTCAATCCACCATGCACAAATGCTGACAACTTTTCCAAGCTCACACAAAACATCGTCTTCTTGTGGGAGCAGAAACAGTGGTTCCACATGTGGGACTCAAATTGGCAAGATGAGCATTCGTTGGCATACAGCTATGCATGCTGACTGATGAGAATTGTAAAGCCGTACATGCAAACTCCCCAGGGCGTTGAGCCAGCCCGCTGAGGGCACCTGAGGTTCTTAGATGGACAAAGTCAAAATGCCTGCAAGCCAGGCAGGCAGACTTTGTGGCCAGGAGCAATTTCCACAAGGCCGAGTGGCAGCAAGGTTGGAATTGGCTTCCCCACCTTTATTGGGTCATCGGCATCGTCGAAGGGCTCCAGTTCCACACAATCATACAATGCCCTGCCATAATGGTCCTGCAACAATCGGGAGTGCACAAGGCATTAATGCAGATTTGAATCCTCATTTGTAAAAAGCTAGTTTTACATGTTCCACAAGGAAAAGCAAATGTCTTTCACCAGAAGTGGTGATGTGGGGCACTCACCCAAAACAGATGCACTTGTTTTCTCCTGCATAGTGTCTCTGTTCATGGCTAGCCTCCCCAGGTACTGCTGATAGGCAGTGGCAGGAAAAGAGGCGAAAAGGAAGGGATGCCATCAGTGCTGATGAGAATGGAAATTGTTGGGTGGCTATTTTGAGGCAACAGGGAAAACGACGGCCTGGTCAATGCCTGTGTCTATGCTGTACTCAGATGATAAAGCAGCATAACTTTGCCTGTGGTGTACAAGGATCCCACAACTGGCGCTCAAGGTGAAATAGACAGACCATGTAATGGGCACCCAATCAGTACGAGGCACTTGAGATCTTTCCATTTAAAATTTGATTCAGAATTCTTCACAGTGAAGAACAATCAACTGAAACCAAGCAAATTTTGCTCAAGATGGGGTGTGACTTGATGTGCACAGCAAAGCAGTATTGGATCAGACGGAGTGACTGGTTCACACTAAAAAAAACTAATGTCTTTTGAGCAATTGTGTACAAAGCTGTGTTCTGTTTCATCAGTCTGCCTCCAGAAACATCCCAGTTTGGATTGTTCGCTTCACGGAGGAGAATCACTTGAACACGGAACAGGGCCTAAGTGGTCAATAAATGAGACATTGGGAGAGCAAGTATTCAGCTTTGGGCCCCACCTGCCCAATTGACCGTCCTACCCATCGCGAATTCCAGCTTGCTGTCTCATCCTGAGAAGACTCAAGGCCCGACATGCCACTGACGCTCTGTCAACGATGTGACAGCAGCTCAAGACGACAAAAAGGTGCAGTTCATTGGCCCGTAACAATAAGCAAATGCTCTCAGGAATTGTATAGTATTAGGTGGTATTAGGTATTATGGAAGGATTGAAATAAGCCCTGAGGATACAAGCACCTTTCAAGTCCCAATGCAACATGTGTTGATGCTGACATGCATTGATCCTCTTTTGATAATTTTCGACACACAACAAAGGAAAGCTCTTCACCACATTCGCGATGTCAGGAACAGGTTCCAAGCACAAGCATTTTTTGTTCATTCCCATACTGCTTGTTCATGCAAACTGCCAGCCAACCTGAATTATTCTGGGCCAGCCAGAGCTGCAAAAGCTAAAAAAGAAAGAAAAGAACGATGGCGATTGACCCAATCTCCGGTCAAGACATAAGAAGCCCAGACACAATGGCTGCCACCCCCTCCAATTGATACGATGGTGCTGAAAAGTACAGAAAAGAATTAGCTGGCACGAGTCGAGGCTGCATCGAAGTGAATTATTTAGTAACTGAAACGATTAACACTGACCAATGAAATATGATCCATGGCTAGAAGCCTGAGGGCTTTCTGCCAGCATTATGCCCCAGCAGCTCTTGACATATGACACAAAAAAACACAATCTCCTTGAGGCAAATGGGATGGGAACTGGCAGGCCTCGCTTGATATGTGTGTTGTGCCCTTGTCTAGCCGATTCATGACGTGGGGTTCCAATTCTGGCGTATCTGGTGCTTTCAAATGCAATGGCCGGAGCATCTAATGTTCACCAGCAGCATCGACACAATGAGGAGTCAGTTCCGCCAGGGTTATGCAAAACGTCCTGTGTAGGAATTTGCACGTCAGAAACTGCGCCACAAATCAGTACCTCCGTCAACAAAAGCAACCCATGCACAAGTCTGCGATGAGGTGATACTCCAACTAAAGGCCATTTTTAGCGAACTGAGGTTAAGGTCAACAAATGGACTTTGACAATTTCCAACTCAGGCGGGAAAAGCATCAACGCAATGCGAAACACAGGAAATATGGCATCGAAACATGGAAAGGCAGGCTTGCCCGAGGTTAAGACCACAAACTCTTTCGTGCAGTCCATTGAAATCAGGAGCGCTCTGGTAGTCACCAGTGTTGGCGCCGTTGTGCTTCGCGAATAACCTAAGATCAAAGAAGAACAACACGGCGCCAGCGGGAGGAGCCGACCCAGGCAGCTGTTGAAATCTCCTGGCACAGCTCGATGCCCATCGGCCCGCCCTCGCGAAGTAGGGTGCGCCCTTCCCAGCCGAAGCCAAATGGCCCGAACGCCAGAAACGCCTGTTGGTGCACAGGTCTAAGAGCTGGGAGGCGCGGAGGGACGGTGGCCCAACCGATGGGCAACTGGTTTCTGGGGCAACTACCATTTCGTTGCTAAGTCCATCAGCGGCCTGAGGGCGGAGTTGAAGGTGCAGATTGCCTCGCACTCCGTTTTTAGAGCTTGCGAGGTCAAACCAATCCACACCCTCGAGGACGCCCTGGGCTTCCACATTTCTAACGCCCAGAGAGCACAAAAGGGCGCCTGGAACGCTGAAATGGCCATTCACGCTGCAGTGCCACGCATGGGCGCGCTCCCGCGCGCCCCAAGCCCTCTTCAAAGGCCAAAGCTCAGTTGACCAAAGTAAAATCTTTCTGAGCATTCTCCGCAGCCTTCGCAACGGGCGGTTCATCCGCGCCCTTTCGCGACTTTCAGGACAGAAGATTCTTTTTATCGGACACAGGTCACGCCCGAGCGCGGTCTCTGGACGGGAAAGCGGCCTGATTGGCGGAGCTCCCCAGCGCTACCTTCAGATGTCTCCTCCAATTCCCGGCCAATCAATAGGTGCGTGGAGCATGGGCCTGCAGCGTCGTGTTCAGCGGCCCGCCGAATACCGCTGTGTGCACCAGGCGGGGTGCAGGCCGCCGTTTTGCCTTCAGAGTGCGCCAGGACGAGCAGGGCTGCGCCTTCCTCTACACCCGACGACCCAACGACACAGCGACTGAGCGGTCAGCATCCACGTGCCCTTCAGCCATTGGTTGATTGCGAACTGTCGTACTGCTGTACGCCCATTTCCTTTTTGCAATCTGTGATATTCTGGAATTGACGGAATGACCCCGCAGTTCTGGGCGATCACTCGTGGTGAGGGCTGCCGAGTAGCCTCCATGTCAAACGCGTGAGTCGCTGTGTGGTTTGCCCCGAACATGCCGCTGCTGCTGCAGATTTGAGGCAAAGGCAGCGAAAAAAGCCGATTTTTCTGCACAAGCAATCACACTATGTGCCCCAGGTTGCAGGGGCACGGGGAAGCAAGCGGGAGGCAAGTAGGTGAAGACAGAACTGGCCTTTTTGGGGCTGGTGACCCCAAGCCATTTCCCCGGAATTCCCCAGAGTTCTCGACACACTGTTCAAAAGTCCTGAAAACATCGGCGTCATAAATTGCAGCGGTTGCATCAGTATGGAAGGAGTTGGTGAGTTGCTCCCAATACCATGGGGTGACACCCTAAGACCGGCACAGTTTTGCTGCGAGTGGTGGTGTATCGGTTCGGCAGATTGGGTAGCTCTTGGGCAGATAGGGCCTTTGTGGTCTCGGGCTGTCGCGAAACAAGGGCGGCCAATGCTCAGGGACCTTTCTAATATTTGTCTTTGTACTGTGGACCATAGACTCCTCCCTGCGGTCAGTTTGACGTTGAAATGTGCTAGAGTCGCCCTGGTGTATCATGGGCAATTCTGCCAGCGGTCTACACGGCGCCACCCTTTTTTCTCTATGAGATTTATGACGTGTGGTTTTTGGCAGCACTTTAAACGCCGCAGAGTAAGGAATAATACTATGTTGCATTTTGCACGCTTAGCGTCAATGTGGCGTTAAGCTCCCGCCGCCCCACACCCACCCGTCAATTTGACGCTGAGCGTGCAAAGTCAAAATAGCGCCTTCCCTAATGGAGAATACCAGCGCAAAGGTGCACCGATTTACCAGGGACTGGCTCTCATGGTGTCTGTGACCATCCGGGAGGGTGGATCGTGTCACTTGTCCATCCTGTTTGTGATGAAGCCCATTTTCGGAGCATCTTCTTTTAATCATTCACTGCGTTATGTGCACTGGGGCAAGGGCACTCATCCCGTGCTTTGGATTAGTCTGCGTCTGTTGGATTCAACGGCGCCTCCAATGGCCCACCTTGCCTTGCACGCCTTCAATCATGGCGCCGTACACTCTCAACATGCCAGAGCTTTTGACTTCACGGCCCGTACCCGAGGGCACAGGGCCCTGACTCGCTGACAATTCCACCCGCACACGTTGAGAAAACTGGGGCCGCGCTGCCCAAGTCAATATTGGCCCGCGTGAATGTGCGCCAAGGACAAAGGACAGCGCACAAGTGTGAAGAATAGTGCACATGCGTCTTAAGCACACTGCATTAATAACGACGGGGCATCGATTGGCAACTTCGACGCCAAGCGCCGCTACTCGTGATACTCCTGCCCGGTGTGGCTATGGCCGGCAGCGCAACAACCGCCAGTACCTGCAATGCACCAAACGCCGCACACGGGCGTCCGCATACGGGCGGGTGCCTGGGCGCCATGCCCACGCGTCCCGGCCGCGGAGGGCGCCAAGAGCAGCGTCATCCTGGCCGGAAGCCATCGCAGGGACGTCAGGAGGAGGACCGTGACCGGCGCCCCCCCCCCCAGGGAAGGATGCCGGACCAATTCGGGCAAGGAGAGCCCGAAAGCATTAAAAAGGGCCCAGCGCGAATCGGCGGCGAGCTCGCCCGCCCAATCGCCGCTGACCGCACCCGCGCACCGACAACTACACCCTCGCGCCCCTCCCCGCGATTTTTGCCACCGCTGCCACCCCGCGACCCGCGACCCTCTGCACCCAGCGACTGCCCAACCCCCGCCCCGAAACCTCCCTCCCGCCCAGCATCGACGACCTGGGCGCCCGGGGGTGCGCCTCAGGCCGTGACCATGTCCGTGTCCTGCATCTCGACCTCCTGGCGCTTGGGCGCCTCGCTGTGCGACACCGTGCCCCTGCAGACGTGCAGGACGTCGAAGGAGGCCTTGGCCCAGGCGGTGAGCGCCAGCTTGACGTCCAGCTCGTCCGAGAAGTCCTGGCTGAAGCTGATGACGCCTGGGCCCCTGGGGAGAGGTACACACACAGGGGGCGCGGCGGTTCAGACAGCTGGTGCGATGTGGGAGCCGACCAGGCGCCTGGGGTGCGGCCCGCCGCGGTGGCAGGCAAGCGCTTGCTTGAATGGATTGTCGGTGAGGATATAATGTTGCTGCAACTGCGATCATGGCAGGTTTGCGCTCTGGCTGGACAGGCTTGGACAGTGGAACGGGGACTGCAGATCGTCAGCTGGCAAATGTGCACTATTCGTGGCGCAACTGTGCGGCTGCCAACAGAGCATAGCACAGTGCTGGGCTACTTTTGAAACGTGCAATGGCAGCAGAATTGCCCGGTTGTACCGAGGCAGGAATGGCGCCACCATGCTGTCAACACCTGGATAACTGTCGGCGGTAACTTTGACTGGTATGGATGAAACCTTTGCAATTGCGAAGTTTGCATTATATCCTGACAACGGTTATGAGGAGTGCAACTTGATGGTAGTCACCCAGGATGGAAATTTCGGCCTTACGGCTCAAAAGCAGGACAGCACAAGATGCTGAAGACCAAATCAACTAGCGAATAAGCGAATTCATGGATGGGTGGGAACTGGGGGGCCTGAAGTCACCAAACCATACTTGCAAAATATTGCAGAATGGTTGTGAGTATCTCAGCGAGAACTCCGATCCTAACTGTCAGAATGGACTGGTCTGTTGTTGTCCTTCTTTGAGTCTGTAACCCTGCCACGGGGCAGAAGGACATCTAGAAATTTGATAGGCGACCCACTGGACATTGGGTGAGCGTTTTGGAACCACCTTGACACACTGCAAGACGTTGGTCTTTTCCAAGGGTAAGTTCGAGATGCCATACCTGTTCACATACCCAACCAAATGATCCTCACTTGTGAAGCCACCAAATGCACAAACAACACCAAGGAAAAGAGGACAAATATGGGACTATCGGAGCTGTTTCAACACGTTTTCTGAGGCCACAGTGCGTAAACACCATTTTATCTGGTATGGAGGAAGCACAAGCGATGACATAGACTCACCACAACGTGGTATAGGTTGATGCTGCATTGGAACACACAATATGCAAGCGATTGTTACCTTGCTGCATTTGCGCTGGTGACTCACAAAGGCAAGTGGGGCTGAAAACAGTACCAAAACTGCACAAGTGGATGTGGTGCACTGTGCTGCAGCAAAATCATCAACTAAAACTGGTTACAGCCGACTTGACAAGGACACATCCCCTTACCACCTACAGATCCAACAAACACACAATGGCAGATATGACATGACGATGACGTGACATAGCGATGTGACATACACTATCGAAACTGTTGTACCCCACCTGTATTCTGTGTGGACCCTGTGGTTGTTCTCCCAGCGTGTGTCCCATCCATCTGTAGGGTTTTTAACAATGAATTGTGCCTTCCCAGGGCGCACCAGCACGTCGATAGTGGTGCCTTTGACCACAGGCACCCGAAAGGGAAGCTGGCTCCCGACTGTTATTTGCGAGCAAAACCCAACCGAGAGGGCATTGCTGGTCTCCGCCAGGCACTTGTGCAATGCCTTCCTCCGCTTCTGGAGAACACAAAAATTGCCGTGTCAGTATCAGACAGCAAGGAGTCCAACATGCACGCATTGTTGTGCCGTCCATGCTGGGGCCCTCCCATGTGCAACTGCTGCCAAGGGCTGTCTGTATTGCAGAGGTGGAAGGCAGCTACTCCATTGCGAGCACACATGACGTGTGCATGAAGCTGGAAAGCTGAAGAGGCAATTGCTGATAATGGCCCTGCTGCTTAGGGAACCCCCTTTTAGGCCAGCAAGTCACTCTCTTCAACAATTCTGCCACTCAAAAGCTTTCCACACACAGACTGGGCGCAATTCCATTGCGATGGCCAGTTCAGGGGGGTCAGCAGTTCGGGAGGCGGTTGGGATGAGGCGGTGGTGCTCCAGTCAGCGCCCATTCACGCAAGCTCCCCTTCCGGGCCTGATACCCGGAAATCAGTTCGGATTCCCACTTGCAAGAGGTCACAGCACTGCAGTCCGGCAACCTATCTGACAGACCCCCACCCCACACTAACTGCCGCCGTCCGCGCACCTGCAGGAAGCTGGGGACGGCGCCGAACTCGACGGCCGTGTTGCCCTGCACCCGCAGCTTCCAACGCAGGACGCGCTTCTCCGACGTGGACAGGTCGGACACCAGCATCTTGGGCCCCAGCCCCATCAGCTTCACCTCCTTCACGGCGCTGCCGCTGGGGTCCCGGTTGAAAGTGAAGCCTTCCGCGCAGCCCAAGTCGTACTGGAACCCCACGGCCGACTCCTCCAAGTAAAGCCGCTCCTTCCACGACGGGTAACTGCACGGGCCACAGCCGCAACTCAGCCACACCGCCGGCCAGCTCCCTCAACCCCCCCACCCCACCCACCCCACCCACCCCCCAACACACACACACACACACACGCGGCGAGAAGGAAAGGAAGCACGGCGATTTCGGAATCGAATAACCGGCCAAGGCGGAGGCCCGGCCGCGCGATGCGCCAGCACTTTTCCCACGCATCTGCGCACCATCTGCGACCAATCGTTCAATCGAACGCCATCGCGGCCCCCTTCCCGGCAGCGGCGGCGCCCGTCCCACCGGGCCCCGCCCGCCAATGGCCCCCGGCCCCCCGCCCCCGCCCGCCCCCACCCACCCACCCCACGCGGCCTCACCTCCAACATCCGTCCAGCTGTGCGCCCACGCGCCTGAACAGCGCGTCCCGCGCCGCCAGCTCCGTCAGCCGCAGGCCCACCACGGGGTGGCGCACGTGGAACGCGCGCGCGGTCAGCTCCAGCTGCACCAAACTGAAGGCCTCCAGCTTGCCCATCACCACCATCAGCACCTCCAGCGGCAGCCTCAGCAGCTCGAACGCCTCCCCGGCCGGCCCCTGCTCCCCGCCGCACCCGCCGCAGGCCTCCACCTCCCGCCCGCTGTCCGCCGTGTCCATCACCTCCACCTTGTGGCGCTTAGCGCCGTTGGGGCTCATCCTCCACGGCTTGCCCTCCTCGCCCGATGAACCCCCCGCCGCGTTGCCCGCCTCACCCGAGGATGACCACGACGCGGAGGCCCCCGCGCTGGGATCCGCCGGCCCGCGCCGCGCCCCCGGCGACTGCATGGGGGTGCTCAACGGCGCCGCGGCGGGGCCGAACCGCCCTCGAGCACCGATGCCAACCGACCCCAGAACTCGCCGATGCCAGGCGTGGAGGGCCGTCGCCCGATCCGGCGGCCTAGCCCTCAGGGCGGGCGGGCAGCTGGGAGGCGCGAGGGTGGCGGTGCGGTGCGCGGCGCGGCGCTGGGCGTGGCGCAGGGCGGGGCGGCTGCGTCCAATACGGTTCGGCAAACACGCAGGCGTGCGCAGGCTGCTCTCGACATTGCCGGCGCATCGGGGGTTGGGACACTTCAGGGCCAGTTCGCCGGGTGGGGTGTCCCGGCCAGCCTTGGCGCAAATGAGTGAGGGAGCGGTTTGTGGGCATTTAGTCACGCGCGGCGGGCCACTTGACGGACGGGGGAGATTTTTCCTCTCTTTTTTGTTGCGGATTGACGCATATCTCTCTTGGTGTCCCTCCACCGGAGGCCGCGCGGCGCCGGCTGATACGAACAGTTACTGCACTGATCAGTGAGCGGCTGTTTTCGGTCGACAGGAGGCGTGGGATCTGCGTGGGCTCGTTGGTTAACGATTTGTCTGGATTTTGTGCGTTGGAAACGCTTGCCTCGACGAATGTTCCATTGCGCCTGTGGGAACGTCTGAGCACATGGCGTCCTGGACACAATGCTATTGCGGTATAAATGAGATGCAATCGATTTTAAGCTTGTCTTCCTCGTGTTATGGAGCCTGTCTTCACGCCACCCAAGTACCTTCATCCTAAACCAGCCGATGATAGCGATGGGGATGCAGCCCTTGACAGTGGCCCTAACAGGGAACCGGAACAGGGCATTCTTCTCACAGCATCACGTTGCCCTACCCATGCGCTGGCAGCCAGATCTGGCACTCGATGGTCAGTCTTGACTGACCATCATTAGGAATGCTCATTTCCATGTCACATAATGGCGATGTGTTGAATTGTTCTCAGTCGTGTTGCTGCTTCCGACAGATGTCGACCGACCAGGTGAAACAGCACCATAGACCATTCAAAGGCTTCACATGCACAGCCACTGGGCACTGCCAAAAAGCGAATAAAAGCTGAATGAAACTGGAAGCATCTCAGCTGCTTTCTGCAGTTTAATTCGCCGTTAGTTACGACGCCACAACTCTGCATGGCCAGCTCATGACTGACACGAGGTGACTGGCTGTGCATCACCACGACACAGCCTAGACTGGAACTTGCATGCATTGCCAAAAGGTGAAAAGCATGCTTACATATTGCGCATAAAGAATGCGTTAGCACAGAACTTTCAAAAATCACAGGAATTGTGACTGGGTGCAAAGCACAATCGCCTTCATGGCAAAGGTAGGATTGCTGCCGAAAGATTGCAGGAAATTAATTTTAGAAATTGAGAAAATTGTGGCAACTGCGCTGAAAGGAACAAGCGAGGGGTGTTCTAAGACATTTACGGTGGTGAGCAGTTTCAAAAAGGCGAGAATGCTAGCAACACTCTGCCCCAAAATATGAAAATTTACGTAAGTTAGACAGAATGGGAGGGTGGATGGACAGGAGAAACAGGTTGAATTGAAATTGACTAGGGCACAGCCACAGAAGCGCAGCTTCTATGCTGACCGTTCATCCCACTTCCAGCCGTGCAAATAATGACACCGATCGGGAACAATTTGCACTCCACTTTAAGGACTGCCAGAAGGCATGCGAATGCAGTGTTGAATGAGAAGCGTGTTGCTAATTTGCATAATTTGCGCACCATTTGATAATGTGTGAGCGATTTTGAGCCAAGGCTGTGACAATAAACGCTAGAGTCACTGGATTTTGAAGGGATGGTGCCTTCATATGCATTTGGAAAGAAGAGAACATTGAATGAACGGAAATATGGCTGCGTACCGAGGCAAATTCGGAATTTCCCTGTAACTCATAGTTGGGGAGTAACGTTGGAATGTTTGGAAGGAATGGGACACCGTTACATGTGGATTGATCCCCTTGTAGCACAGCTTGCGGCTATGAATCACAGCCCGTAATTGTACCATGGTCGGTATAACTGGGCAATGGTACGACGTAAACCTAAAATGAGAGTGAGTAAGGTGCATGGAATACAAATCGCTGGGCGTCACCGTGTTGTGACTGATACATACACTAGCACGTCAAGGTACTTCGTTGCCTGTCTGGCTATGTTGGACCCGCTGAGAGGCCGTTCATGCCATGCGAGATGTGTGGAATCATGTTGTGAGGCCCAAGACAATTGGTCGGGGCACAAGCGCTCTGACCAGCATTCCCCCTCAATCTGAGCACAAGCGCCTAACAATGCCATGGTGGCGTGGCTCTGCATGGCGCTAGCTGGACGGTGATTCGTGAGTAATAGGCATGTGAACCGGCCTGGGCCTGCTCACCTTTCCAACGACATGCTCTGACATTGGCTGCAAGGATGTGGACATCAGGACCCAACGGCGCAAGCAAGGCATTGGCTTTCGAAGGGTAATAGCACACATACAGTGCACTAGGAACAACCAAGCCAGATGACATTGCCCTGACACGGTCTGCTAAAATTCCAACCGTGTACTTTCGGCAAATGTGGTCCCAAAACCACACAGTTGGTACACGCATTGACACAATTTCAACTATGTACCCTGGTAAACTGTGTAGTGTAAATAGTTGTTTGAGGGTACACAGTTGAAATTGTGTCAATGCGTCTACTAACTGTGTGGTTTTGGGACCACATTTGCCGAAAGTACACGGTTGGAATTTAAACAAACCTTGTCAGGACAGTGTCATCAGGCCTGGTTGTTCCTAGTGGTGAGGGAGGACGGCTGCCGTTGCCACTGTCCAAAAATCGCTAGCGGAATCATCAATTGCGCATAGGAGGGCTCCAGAAGGTCATACTGAACTGTAATCCGCTTGGGCCATGGTTGGTTATGGATTGTGGACCTCTCCCCACCACTTGTGGACACACTCGCGGCTTTGATTCGCCAACAATCAGTAAGTGGGCCCCGGTAAAATCCGTAGCCCTGTGGAGCTTGATTGATGGAGCAACTGCTGCTTCCCGTCAGGGGCTCCTGTTCAAGTATCTGAGCCTACTGTACGCATTTACTCATCTTGCAAATAAAACGCAATGCACATGTCAATGTTTCCATGTTGGCCTCCCGGCTTCAGTGGCCCGCACCACACGCCGGGAGTAGACAGTGAACAACATAAGCAGTTCGGATAGCTCAACCCGTTTGCAACTCAGCTGCTTGGTGACAAGCAGCGCTGCACCCTGGCTGCCAGGTGCGGTCAGAAACAGCACGCGTTTCAAACGCAGCACAGTTCATCATGACAAATAGTTACACACAGCACATTCAGTTCACGTGTTGCTGATCTCGCCGCTTGCTGCTTGTTGCTTGGCACATCCCCTGAACTGCCCAAACCAACCAAGGCCAACCAATAACCCCATTAACGTTCCCATGAAAGCCGCCAGAAGCCAACCACAGGCAAACCGACTGGCACTTCCGAAAAATGCATCAGCATCCGCACACAACCAGTGGTGTGCATACCAGTTCGCACCCCCTGTGGAAACGGACGGCCATGGACCAGTGATCAACGGCAAACAGCTCAAGAGCTCATCAACGTCCATCAGGCGGTTGGTGCTCAAAACGCCTTGGGCTGGTACAGCCATACTTGGGCATGAGCCCCCCAGATGCTCGTGCAGGCTCAGTTCATCGCACAGCACACAGCAATGCTGTGGCCTCCCAAAAAGTAATCAACAGGAAGAAATTTCCCTGCCCCCACAAAAACAAACACACATTTACACACAACAACGAAGCCAAATGGGAGTTGACATCTTCGCCCATGTCTCCCACACACGCCAGCTCAAGGGCGATCCAATGCATGGCACGGGTGACGACAGCCAAAGCATGGACCCCACTCAGCGAGCCATGCCCTGCTGGACTGGGTAGCTGGCGGGGGGGTACCCCTGTTGAGGTGGGTAGCTGGCTGGGGGGTACCCCTGTTGAGGTGGGTAGCTGGCCGGAGGGTACCCCTGCTGGGGGGGGTAGCCCCCGGGCGCCTGAACCTGCGGGTAACCCGCAGGTTGGCCCTGCGGATTGTATCCCTGTGGATTGTAGTTTGCGCCCATCTGCTGCTGGGGTGCAGGGTAGCCTGGTGGGACCTGGCCTTGTATCTGGAGGGCAAAAGTGCACAAGAATTGAGAAGGGAAGCGAGGTAGGCAAGTGGACGAGTGGCTCAGTCACAATGTAGCGACTGACACCATTGGGGGAGAAAAGGGCCGAAAGCAACAATTCCAACCTTACCTCGTTAGCACGAGGTACTTGCTGCACACCTCCTCCTCCGTTCTTGTCACGATCATTCAGCTGCACATGGTGCTGAGTCTGCATGCAGGCGCACACACTGCAGCGACACAGCAAGCTCAGCACATGGAAATGAACAGGCTGCTTCTATCAAACAGCAACCGGCTTTTACATAAATCGATTGAATAACATGTCCTTGTCTTGACAAAATTAGAAACTGAGCAGCGCGTGGAAGGATAACAACTGCTTTCCCCCGCACTTGCCAGCAATCTACATATGCACCACACTAAAATTGCACCCACTGCACCACATTAAATGAGTTCCAGTCCAATGCAATTGCGTACTCACTGTACCCACTATGGGATGACGATGTCAGATGGTAAGTGAGCCAATCAAGTAAGGTTTCACTACACCAAACACAGCCACTTGAATATAACCAACATCCAATCATGCTTTGGTGGATGCTGTGGTTGGCGTGTGGATTCTTCATTTCAAACAATCAAGGCATTGAGCAGAGATATCTATGATCATCACAACTGCGGGCAAGTTGAAGAAGTTTATTCAGGCACTTACGTCCACCAGAGGAGCTCAGCAATCAGGTCGATGACCTCCGCAATCAGCTCTATCTCATCATTGTCAGTAAGACATGCTATAATGTTGCAGATGCAAGCCAGCTGCTGGAAGAAGATCATAGTTCCGATGATGCAGTTGTCACACTGGGTGTTCTGGATGTGCAGCTCGTCCTGGATCATCCACCGTGTGACCGCAACAGATGTGCCGAAGCAGCAGCAGGTCTGCAACAAGAATGTTGGCCAAATCAATGCGGGAAGAAAAGAGGGGAATGCCGTTTGTGCTCATGGCTGAGTTGGAATGTGCAGATTGCTTGGTGAGAATATCCCCATCGAGGGCAAGGAGCAGATTCACTTACAAAGATGTGTTGCAGGAGGACACATTTAACAGTTACTGTGATGGCACAGAAAGAGAGCCCTAGTTTTGCTGGTGAACATGTGGAAGACAATTACAATGGCAAACTGTATGTTTGGCAAAACAGGGAAGGGTGCAATCGGGAACTGCCAGGTTCTGACCAAAGTAGTGCTGTGTCCACGTTTGGGATGCATCTTGTGGTTTCAACATCTTTGGTCGCCTTCATTGTGCGCCATAGAGCAAATGCATTGATGGGGTGGGCACAATAGTGTGCATTGAAAACGACATTGACACCAACAAGGAAAAAGAAAACTGCAAGAGGACACATCACATACAACGTTCCACAGTTACAAAGGTGCCATTCCTTGTGCACAACGGCCTTGAAAAGAACCACCACAGTTGCTGTAGAAGAACAGTGTCTCCCTGTTCAAGCTGCACAGGCATCAAACAGACGTCATCGTGGGTGATTTCACAGCTGTGCCCCACCTCCAGACACAAGCAGGCCTCCGGGCAAGCACTCTCACCACACTTCCCTGAGCATGGGAAAGCGCCATTGCAGCATGTATATCTGCAGAACACAGGCAGGAAAAGGCCATCAGTCTTCGATTCGTTAGTTGTTCTTGAGCAAGAGCCAAAATTGTCACAATCGGCGAGCACCGTGATAAACGAGAGGCTGACACCGCCCTGCTATGCCTCGGCTAAATGAAGGTTGTGAGAAGCGAGATCGAGACATTCCCTCAACAACTTCAAACGCAGGGCGGCTCCACCAATAGCATCAAGATGCGCCGGACTTAGCCCACAGAGAACGGCCAGGAATTCCGTCAGTAAAATCGAAACGAAGTGCAGGATGCAATCTTTGGCGACGACGGCGAGTGTCGGCGACAAGATCGGCGGGCATCGGCACCCTGAAGTCCCCGGGAGACGGATCGACCCCGCGCTCACCCCTCCAGGCTGCCGTGCATGGCCTTCTTCCTCATGTACCACGACGTGCAACATCCGCTGCGATTACACGGAAGACCGCAATCAGCCGCACCCCCATCCACCGGGCCGTCCGAGGGCGGCACGGACAGGCAGATCCAAACGCAATAGAAAACGCCGCGGGACGGCATCCCATGGCCGAGGGTCCCAAAAAGTCAGCCATACTCACCACCACAGCGCCGCGCAGCAGCCTGCGCATTCCAAACAGCCGTGCATAAGAAAATCGCGTCAGCGGCAACGGATTACGATGTGCGCGTTTGCCCACGCGGAGGGCAGCAGAAGGCCACCAGCGTTCAGCGCCCGCAACGGGGCCTTACACAGGGGATCAGCGCAGGGGCTCGCCATCAGGCCCGTCTTCCATGTGTTGGTGTACTGCGACTTGCGCGCCTCCCACTGCTGCAGCTTTTCGGCATTCTTGCCCGACATCGGGACCCAACCCCCACAACCTCTGCAGGAGACCTTCCTTTCGGGTGAAGGGGAGCGTGCGGCTCAAAGACGCCCGGCAGGCGCCTCTGGAGTGCGCCGGCTGGGAGCGCGGCAGCGGCGTGGGCCTCCTCCGCCGTTTCAGCGCTCTCAGGTGCGCCGAATGGACGTAAGGTACGAACTACACCATACAGACAGGCAGGTTTGCTGATCTGCGCCACGTTGGCTGCGCGGCCATGGCGGTCAGGGAGGCCAATTAGATAAGACGTACGCATTTCAAAGGAAGCGGTTGCGTCGGACCGCGCGTGGAGTAAGGGCCAATGGGTTCACTGCGGGTGTCACTGAGCGGCTGATGAGATCGCGGTGAGACGGTGCTCGGGGAACGGGGTGTTGTCGTGTGTTGTGGCGATTTTCTGAGTACCCCGCCTGAACCATGTACCTTGGGGACTAATTGCGGTATGCTAACTGAATTATAGGAAAGTCTATGCGTGTTAGAGTGTTCTGCAGTAATTGTGAAGGCTGTAGGTGGTGTCCTGCCCATACGACGATGAAGCAACCGTATCCCGGATGCGAGCTGCCATGCAAGAGTGTCCCATGAA